CCTGGGACGGGGGGAGCCCCTCACCGCGCGTCGGCCCGGCTGGGAGAGGGGAGCGGGGCACGGGGGCGGGTCAGCTGAGTTCCCCCGGCGGATCTTCTTGTAGGGCGGTTGAGCGTGGGAGTCAGGTGCGGAGCTACCAGCGAGCATGGAGTGCAGTTTTGGCCCTTAATCCCGGGGGCTCCAGCTGAGGTGCAGTGAGTGCCAGAGCAGAATCACAGATCAGCACCACAGAAAAAGCCTTTGACAATTAAGAGAACAAACAAAAGTGTATTTACGTGGTGAGTATAATAAATAAGGGATTTTTTGTGTCCATATTTCTTTTCCTTTTTTTTTTTTTCTTTTCTTTCCCACCCAGGGAATTGTTTTGACAGATATGGTTGAGTGACCTTACTGCAGTCTCTCAAGTTCGTCATCAGCCTGGTTTTGACATGATCAAATGCCTGGCAGAAGATGTGCGAGCCAGGCTGCGCTCTGGAGTGACTGTGGGCTCGCTGGGGCAGTGCGTCGAGGAGCTCGTCCTCAATAGCATTGATGCCAAGGCAACATGTGTCGCTGTCAGGGTGGATCTGGAAGCCTTTAAGATCCAGGTGGTGGACAATGGTTCTGGGATGGGGAGAGAAGACTTAAATAAAATGGGGAAGTGGTACTTCACTAGTAAATGCAGCTCAGTTGAGGACTTGGAGAGCCTGAAATACTATGGCTTTCGAGGGGAGGCTGTGGCAAGCATAGCAAACATGGCCAGTGTGGTGGAAGTTTCATCCAAGACCAACAAGACGGCAAAAACTTTTGTGAAGCTGTTTCACAACGGGCAAGCGTTGGAAGTCTGTGAGGCTGAACTGAGCAGGCCAAGTGGTGGAACTACAGTGACTGTGTGCAACTTGTTCCATCAGTTACCAGTGAGGAGGAAATGCATGGATCCTGCCTTGGAGTTTGAGAGAGTAAGACAGAAAGTGGAGGCCATTTCACTGATGCATCCCTCCATTTCACTTTCTTTAAGGAATGATGCCTCCTGTACGATGGTGCTTCAGCTCCCTAAGACACGGGATGTATATTCTCGTTTTTGTCAAATTTACGGACTGGGCAGATCACAGAAGTTACGGGAAATAAGTCATAAGTCTGGAGGATTTGAACTTAGTGGTTATATCAGTTCTGAAGGACATTACAATAAGAATATGCAGTTCTTGTATGTGAATAGAAGACTGGTTTTAAAGACAAGAGTACACAAACTAGTTGATTTTTTATTAAGAAAAGAAAGTGTTATCTGCAAGTCAAAAAGTGTCCCTGCTAGCAGACAGACTAGTTCAAGTCCTGGTCACCACCGCTGTGGCCCAGAGTTACATGGAGTCTTTGTTCTCAACGTGACATGCCAGTACAGTGACTATGATGTGTGTCTAGACCCCGCAAAAACGCTAATCGAGTTCCATAACTGGGATTCACTTCTAACTTGCGTTGAGGAAGGAGTCAAAATGTTTTTAAAACGAGAGCATTTATTTATTGAACCATGTAACGAAGACATCAGAGAATTTAATGAAGATAATGACTTTTGTCTGCATAGTGTCCCAGTTCTGAAACATTCAATCTCTAATGAGAAAAGCATCCAAGATAGTTTTAAGAAAGCCTGTGATGAAATTGTGGATTCCTATGAAATGTATAACTTGCAATCCAAAGATGTCAAAAGGAAATCAGTGAGTGGAAAAATGTCTTCTTTCAAGTCAAATGGAAATCCAGGGGAAACTGAAATATTCACAGATCAAGTGATAGTTGATCCACCTGACATGTGTAGGAATAAGGAAGCAAAGATGCCACTGCCCAGCAAAGATAGCAAAGCCTCTTATTTCAGTGTTTCAGGTGTCTCAGAACAGGAGCCGAAAGCTACTAGCATTTCCCAAAAGCTGTGTGATACGGATCTCAGATCTTCCGAAAATCTCCATTCCTCTCTTGGTAAAGGGGCCAGGTCAGAACAAATAGAGTCAGACCCTTGTGATGACCTGCAGCCTTGTGCAGAGGATTACATGAAAGATGCGGGAAGCCGGCATGACAGGGTGGTGCAGAAAAGCAGTACTATCCATACCTCAATTACTGATTTTACTGATTCGCCATATGAGACACTAGAAGACCCTAGTGAACCATCAGTAGGACCTGAAATTAGCACTGAAAGTTCAGTGGTGGGAATGTGTAATGTAAGGAAAAGAAACAGTGAAACAACTGAAATGATAAATGCTGGCAGAAGAGCTTTTGGTTCAATACCATTGAAATTGTGTTCTACAGGCCTTATAACACATGCTGTGCAAACTGAGCCACCACATGAATGTGAACAAGTAGAAAAAAGTCTTGCATTAAACGCGCGCTCTAGACCTGGCCCTGCCAAGGACATTTTTGGAGACAAAGGGAATTTTCCAGTCCATTCTTTTAATGCTAAGGATATTTCCAGTAATACAAACAAAGAATATACACTTCCTTACAGCAGAGAAATGTGCACGACTGATGGAAAGAAACGGCTGGAGAACAAAACCTTGCTAAATCAGCTGAGTGATGGGAAAGCCATGCCTAGCGCAGCTGGTAGAAAGCAGTGTGTGGCATCGAACATCAGAGAATTAACAGTGACAGCACCTTCTGCTCTTCTTCAGAATAAAATTATGAAAAGCACTGGAAAACAAGTGGGTGAACCAAGATCTCAGCCCTGTAAGAAGCTGAGCTTGTCTATGCAGCTTGGTTCATTAGAAAAGTTCAGGAGATACTATGGGAAGGCCAAGTGCATGCTCTCAACACCACTGCCAGAGGAGCGTGAATGTGGTCTCACTATTTTAAATTCACAAGCTGCTCCCGACTCTTCGAAGAGTCAGAATGACAGTCTTGATAACTTGAGTATTTGTGAAACTCCAGCTTTGGAATATACAGACTCTAATAGTAGCCGAGTTGTTGGTTCTTTGGAAAAGACTATATTCAGCAACAAACATACGGTACTGGACAGACAAGCACTTTGCCAGAATAAGAGTGCTTTCACATTGACTGATTACGCTCAGGTTTCTAAAAAAACTGTGAGTAGTACAAGATCTCTGGGATCATTAGCATCGAAACTGTCCAGAATGAGAAGTGACTACGGAGAAGTAGAACAACCTGGTGACCGCTTCCAAACAGACTCAAGTAGAAGAGATAATGACTTGTTCAATCTTGAATCTTCAAATAATGATTGTTTGCATAATAGTTCTCAAATGCATAAAACCACGATGGAAAAAATGACAGGATATTATTTCAGCTTTTCTAAGGAGGATACACCTTGGCAACTGGACAGTGCAAGAGCAGAGTCCATGGAAAATACTGTAAGCCAGTCAGCACTTAGCACGGAAAGGGAGCACTCAGTCTCCTCAAACACTGTTTCATCATTACCTGGTAAAAAAGAGCATTCTAATGTCATCTGTACAGAGGAAAGTAAATTAGGTGAATCCTCAGAACAAACTCTGAAAGTTGCTGAGGTTCCCAGTAGGACCTCCCAAAGCTGCTTGGAATTCACTGCAAATGATACAGGGACAGGCAATGTCAAAAAAGACTCTCATTTTTCTGATTGGTTGCAAGATTTTGATGTTTCATCAGGTAAGACAATATACGTCAATAGAACTACTGGACTGAGCACTTACAGCACTCCCCCTACAAAAGAGTTCCAAGCTGCCTGCACTAAAGATATAATGACGATGGCCGTGAATGTTGTCTCAGAGAATGGTAAGAGGGTGTGTTTTGTTGTTGTAAGAAAGGGATGAAGAAAACGCTTTGCATTTTGCTAGCTGAGTGAAAAATCTTGCTGGCAGAGCTTGACAGTTTTTGTGGAAATAGCCACTGCCTTAAATATAGTAGCTATATGGAAAACAGAAAAGTGTTGGAGTCAATACAAAAACAATGAAACATTTACGTTTAAGATACTACAGGACAATTTTCAATTAAACATTGAAAAGAAATGTCAACACCAGATCAATTAACACACTGCCTTTTTTTTTCTGAGCATCACAACACTTGCTATGACCATGATTACATATAATTTTTGTCATATATAAAATGAGAGACATCAAAGTAAGGGTACCTGTGTGTGTGTGTGTGTGTGGGTATTTACCTTTTGCCTGAAATGGTCATGTTTCCAAGTATGTGTTATTGCTGTTAGCCCTATGTTAAAAATTTTGGCGTTTTTCAGCTTTCATAAAAGATGTTACATGTCAGAAAAATCACATGAGTAATATCTCTACTCTAAATTTTCCCTAACTTTTGGACAAGAAAATCTTAACTTTATGAATATTGTATGTCTTGAGCAAGGATTCTCCCTGAAACAAAAAGCCGGAAAGATAATCTTTTTATTTTTTTCATTATATATGTAAAAAACTGGATTTCATAGATAGGTGATGGGTGCTTGTGGAATAATGTTTCCATTGCAATAGCTATAAAAGTTCTGTCAAAATGTTACTTGGGTAGAATTCTTCAGTTTGTCGCAACATAGCACAAATCACATTGGGCCATCTTGTCTTTTTATTAGGGAAGAGAAAGTGGCTGGGTTCTGTGGTAACTGGAAAAGGAACTGAGTAATTTCCCATGCTGAGATTCTTGGGAGGATTCTGCAAAGGATTTGCATCTTACCAGTCCTTGGGGAAGAGCCATCACTGCTCTGTGCTGGTTTGAAACCACCAGCCTGGGGTGGATAGACTGGCCATAGCACCTCACAGAACCTTTCCATACTGAGCTTATCAGGGCACAGCTGGTTTTCCTTGGCTTTATCCCTCTACCGCTTTTCCTGATTGCACACCCTTAAATTCTGAGTAGAAAGGAACTTTATTAATTCATTATTATTTCACAAAGAATAGAAAACTGAGTTGTACCAAAGGAAGGGTGAAATGTTTACCACTGTGTTGGAAATCTCAGCCACTTTTCTTAATAATCCCAATAACAATGAAGGTTTGTAATATCATTAAATCATTTCTGGTTGAGTTAGAACATGTTGTTAGGATAACTGCGATATCTCATGTCATCTCAGTCACTTGGAGTTTTGCATTTCACAGGTTCCTGATTACTCTACTAAATACTGACAAGGGTGGTGATTGACAGTTCTGGCCCTGCTGAAAATAGGGAAGGCAGGAGTGTTTTGGAACCCAACAAACTCTACTGCAGGCCTTCTCTTGCCTTTGGAAGTAATACTTCTGCTTGCACAAATTCTGGCAATAAAGCCGATGAGGTAGCAGCCTATTTTTAAGGAAAGTCTTGCGGAAGTGCAGTTATGTCTGCTATCCTCAAGGTATTTGTTGTTCAGTATCTGTGTAAATTGCTTAGGACTTAGCTAAGGAACTCAGCATCCATTAGTCTAACTGCAGTCACAGGGAAAGAAAACCACACTGGAGTTTGTGCTGCTCCCTTTAAACAGTATAGAGCAGTGTTTGTTCATCAGTCCCATATGAGTGGCAGGTCATTCAGTAGCCTGTGAGTGTGAATTTGACAGCTGGGATGTGGCCTTTACATTTGCAAAATGTGAAAGAGAATAAAACTAACAAAAATTCTGCATTTGCCTATGTCTTGTTCTAAATATTGTTTCTCTTCAGATTTCAGATTTCACAGCAGATGTAGATGGAATTTAGAAAATGAAATCCTTGATAATCTTGTTTTCAGAAGAAATTAAGGAAACAGAATATAATTACTCTTTTTTATTTGTTCTGAAGAACACTTAAAAATGTATGGAGTCTTTAGTGAACGGATATATTGAGGGGCAAGAGTATTTTGTTTGTTGAAATATTGAGCATTTGGATCAAGTTGCTTTGCTGATCATTGTACCTAATCCCTACTGGGAAGGAGGAACTTCAGGCATGACATCGTCAATACTACTTTTCTTCTACATCTTTGTAGTCTGTAGATTTTTTCCTTGCAAACATTGAGCAGATACAACTTACTTATGAGACCAATTTGTGAGTCTTAACTTGGAAAGTTTATTCACTGAGAGACAGTTTTAAATAGGTGCATCCAAATAAATAAATGGGAATTGGCATTGAGTTTCTTTTGAAAACGCCATTGAATGCCTAGTTGTAACTCAAGACACTAAAATACCTTTAAAAGTTTGGCCTGATGTTTGTCAGGCTCTTTATAAATTGCTTTGTAACCCATCATGTAAAGTACACAATGTAAGCAGACCTTGCCTGTGTTTAGTCTTTGTTACATATGCCTGGAGTGCAGCTATATATAGGAAGGTGCCTCTTTTTATGTTTGGTTTCTTAGGCCTCATTTAAATCCTTGCTTAAAATACCTACTCTGGTCAAGCCACCAGGGTTATTCCAGTCACCTTAGTAATGGTACTGAGTAAATATATTAATACATATTAAAAGAAATTTCCTGGTGCAAGTCTCTCTGCTTATTCTCAGCATTTCACACATACTGTTATTTCTCAGTGTTAGATTGCAAATTCTGCAGGATTATCTAATTTGTACAGGACTAAGCACACACTTGTTTATCAGAATATAATAATAATTGTATAGCTTTTTCTAATTTTGTGTGCTATTAAATCTGCAGCAGAAAATGTATGTTGTGTTTAGGGTTTCAGTGCAGGTGCCATCCCTTTAGAAGTGAGATTGTGCTACCCTTCCTTCCTAGACCTCGGAAAGAGAGGACTGTAGCAAGCCAGGATCCGAGAGGTAGGGCCAGCTTTCCAGGACACAGTGTACTGTGGTAAGAACAAATCAAAGAATTCTCCCAGATGTCCCAACAGGAACCCAGAATTACTCAAGGTCTGTTAACAATGGGACTGTGTGAGTCATCTCAAACCTAGAACTGGGAAGAAAAATCTTTTAGGGTTGAAGGCAGGTTAGGAGGTACTTATTTACAGGATGAAATACCCAACTCTGTTGAATTATGTCAGTAGTTTAAAGAATAATTACCTACTCCCTTCTTTGTACTCATTCCAACCTTGGAATGGAAAAAAAAAATAGCTTCAAAGCTAACTTTTTTTGTGTGTGTTGGAAAGGATGAAATCACTTTTTTGGTATGTGGCTTTGTCCAGAGGGAGTGGGTAGCTAAACAGGTCCCTTCTTTATTTTCTTTTATTTTATTTTGTTCCTTTCTCCCCCCGTCACTTGAGGGCCAGCTGAATGGCAGGGCAGTGCACTTAGGTCTCTGGGCAGCCTCCTGAGTCCTGGTTAACACAGGCCATAGAGAAGCCCAGGCTCATGCTCCAAGGCTTAGCTTTCATTCTCACTTTTTCTAAGGGAAAACAAAGTAGAATAAAATCGGTTTGAGGCAGAGGTACCCAAAGTGTTGGAAAGGTAACACCCTTTACCTTCTGTTGAAACATGTTCTGGATGTTGCTAGTCCTTATATTATCTATATGTTCTTTCCTAGATGCTGAAGGGGAGTCGCTCCAGTCACTGTTTTCAGAATGGGATAATCCTGTTTTTGTTCGCTGCCCAGAGGCGAGTATCATCTTGCATTTAATGCTAAAATAGGAGTCATTTTATCCTCCTGTTATTTTCTGACATGGCGCCCAAAATTGTAGATATTGTAATTATTGCATTTAATTTATTCGGCTAAATATTGGCAGATACATCTTTTAGAGATTGCTTATTTATAAGTCATCCTTGCGGATTCATTCAAATTCAGAGAAAAAAAGTATTTGAATAATCATGTGTCTTAAGTTGTTTGAAAAGCAAAATATTATTTTAAGCTGTCTTTCCCTCAGCAGAAATAGTCATCTTAAAATAAAATGCTATCTGATGGCAAAATTGTAAGGTAGTGTCTGTCCTCTGTGGAAAGAGAAAAACAACCCCTTTTTCTTCCGTGGGATCCAGTGGGTCTTGAAACTGTGTTTTACTGTGGTTGTTTTTATAGCCTGGCAAGATTATAGCATGTGAGAGGGGAACAATGTTGGAGCTTTTAGAAAGACTTCCTTTGTTGTCACGAGGTAGCTTTATCTTTAACCGTCATGGTGTGTGTGTGTGTGTGTGTAAACATGTGTATGTAACCATTTCCACCTGCAAACAATAGAGCCGGAGCAGCAAAGCACCTGCTGGTGAGTGTCTGGAAAGGAAGAGCCCTGGCCAGTTATTATAGGAAAAGGTACTCTGGGTCACTGCAGATAATGCATCCTAAATAATGCAATCCATTGACGGCCTGTGTAGTCTGGTAGGGAACTCGAGGTTTTCTGATAGGTTCTTGAAATTAGCTGAATAGGTTATAGTTAGCATGTGATATCCAGATGGGAAAGTAGACAGGGATGAAAGTAGAGGGATTATCACATAGTGTCTATGGGTTGTGTTATTCTGCCAGAGCGCTCTGTTTATCAAAATACAAGGAGAGCTGTTTCCAGAATGGTTTTACTTAGAAGTGTTTTTTGTTGTTGTCATATTCTCCATTTAATGCTTAATTCTATTAATTCTATAAATTATTCATCTAATTCTGTGGGTTTTTGTTTTGTTTGGCTTGTTCTCTTTTTCAGATTGCTATTGATGTGACTAGCAGTCAGGCTGAGAATTTGGCTGTGAAAATTCATAATATCTTGTATCCTTATCGTTTCACCAAAGACATGATTCATTCAATGCAGGTACAATAAAAGCTTTCACCTCCAAAGCCCTACTCACCGAAGGGGTTTTGCTGATATTTCTGCTTTGTAGGAAAAAGATATCCAGGGAGATTTTTCATAATTGTAGTTCTCACAGGTTCAGATAGATTTTTTTTTGATTAGTACAAGACACTAGGCATGTGTATCAAGCTAGATCTTAATATCTTTTCATGAGTAAACAAATATCTGCAAAGTGGCTCTAAAATGCCTTGGCTATACAGTTAAATCAAATGAAGAGGCGGCCCTCTTACTGCTGCTTTGAAACATTGTTGGTCCTTAACTAAATAAAAATTCAGCAGGGATTTTCTGTTTTACATTTATTATAGACATTCATTAGTTCATATGCCCCAAGAATTTGTCCTGTGTGTTCCATTTTTATTGAATTAGAAGGTTAATTGTTGAGCAGAGTAGTTTCTACAGTAAATTCCAAGTTTCATGGAAAGACTTGACGCTTATATCTGCTCTGAAAAGTGATTCTTAAAAATGGCACTACAGCATGAAGCCTAAGTCTCCTTTAGTGCTTCTTTATCAAACATTTTGATTATAAACTAAAAAGCTAATGTAAATGTATGCTTTCAGCTTTTCTGTGCATTTCTTATAAGAACTGCTCTTTACTTAGTGGTTCTGTGATTAACTACCTGACCAGTGTTTTCCTTGAATTTTTAGGAAGATAGAGCAGTAAAAAAATTACCACTTCCCGTCTTCCTAAAGAAGCTAATAACAACTTCAGTACCTTATAACAATTACAAGAATTTCTGTAGAAAAGACCAAAGGCACAAAATGTTGCATACTGCCACAGGAAGAGAATAATAATAATAATAATAATAATATAAAATGAAGTAATGTCTTACATTCCAACTAGGAAATACAATTATCTATTAATTTTTACTTAGGAGGTGGAGTACACTCATGTTCTTAGGGTATTCAGTGAGCTTTGTCCATCTAACTTGGAGAGAAATTGCTCCCTAACATCACATTTATGAATCTAAATCTAACAATTAGATAATCAAAGCATGTACATCATTGCCCAGTATTCTGTCTATAGCTCTGGTAGTTTTCTGGTGCTTCTGGGGAAGGTAGAAACAACTGTCAGAGTCAGGTTTTATATTAAATAAGTAAATAAAAGGAAGAAATTTCTTGTTGGTTCCTGTGGTAGTCAGCAGAAGCCCTGAAACATGGGCTTAGTTAAATGCAATGTAAACATAGGGCAAATTATTATTACATTTTCTTTTAATGATAACAGCAAATCGAATACTCAGAGCCATTGCTCACAGCTTTAATTCCTTAATCAATGAGCTTCCTACACCACCATTTAGTCCATACTGTAAATTTCCAGCTCCATCATAGAATAAAATAAACTTCCCACCCTTACAAATCTGTTTGAAAAAAATATCCACAATAATTTTCTTGGCCATTTTGAAACATTCTCATAGTTCCAGATTATGACCAGTTTATGGTCATTTGATGTTTATGCAGTATACCCTTTAGCTTATATAACTGTCCTTGTTCCATATTTACCCATAATGTATTTATAAAGAATCATTATTATTAGTCTTATTTTTGCTAGACCAGATTATTTAATCATTCCTGATAATGTGTTATTTTCACTTCGCTAATCATCTTAGTAGCTCTTCTCTGTGATTTATCCATTTTGATTGTCTTCTAATGTTTAACTTAATTTTAGAATTGTTTTACCACGGGGTAATGATTATTCTAAATATCTTACAGGTTCTTCAGCAAGTGGACAATAAATTTATTGCTTGCTTAATCAACACTAGGAATAAAACGGATAAAAAAGCAGGTAAAAGTAGTTATTAAAAAGCGGTAGCTCTCAAGGGCCATTTCACTGCAGAGGGAGAAGTGTCCTACTTGGATTATCTTCATGCCTTAGGCTAATATTGTGCGTAGAAGAAAATGTTAGCCTTCATTTGAGATTTCCTGGGTATTCTTTTCTTTATTTTGGACACTGTTCAATGTTCCTTCAGGTTAGTGTTATAAAAGCAGATTATACACAAATTACTAACATCTTCAGGTTGTGTTCACAGTGCCTGGACACAGTCATTACTGAAGCTTGGTGGAGCTGTTTAAAAAAGGCATTTAAAACTAGTAGCTTCATAATGTTTTAAAGTCTGTATTAAGCAGACTAATTTGTCAATTACCTCACTTGTTATTCTTGAGTTAGATGAAGAGGTCATTAGGCAGAATTTTCATACTCTGATTACCCTTAGTTTAATTACCCCATTTATATCGTTCAGTCTTAGTTCAATAGTGACTTTATGTTCTGCTAACACAGCCCCTTGCTCCTCCTCCTCTTCTCTTAATTTCTGCAAAACCGGCTGATAGTTACCTTCTAAATGTGGCCTATGGGGAGGGATCATTCTTCTTCACAGCCTGCACAGCTGTGTGCTATAAAGCTGACTATTTCTGATGTCTTCTGGTACATTTTTAGGTGGAAACCTGTTGGTTTTGGTGGATCAACATGCAGCTCATGAACGGATCCGCCTGGAGCAGCTTATTGCAGGTGGGGATTCTGCTGGTCTCAGGAAAGAAATCAGTGCTCAGCAAAATGCAAATGAGCCATGTTATAAAGAAAGCTTGCAAACTAACTTAAAATAAGGATAAATCTGAGATAAATGGAACAAGCAGGAACTTTGCTTGCCATCTTTTTTCTGATCCCTGGGAGAGGGCAGGCATTCATTATTTGTAACAGTTAAGAGTACTGGCACTGAATATTGTGACAGTGTTTCAAGAAATCCTTACCCACAGAATTATCAAACTAAAATAGTCGTGATGTAATGAAAAAGCGGGAAGACTGATAGCAAAAATAATGGATAGGAAATAGAGCAATATCAGTAAGATTAGGGAGTTATGCTATGACAGGATAAGGATGAATCTAGATGGGATGAACAGTAAAATACATAGTTTATTTTGTTCCTTTGAGCTGCATGCCATGCTTAAAGTCTACATTTTCCACATTCTGAAACTATTTGCAGAGGGATAATGGTCTTTTCTGTAAGGTCATTAGCCACTGGTTTCAGTGTTAGAAAGCACAATAGCCATCCATCAAGCACTTAAAACTCATTGACCTTCTGTTTTATCAACAAATACCACACTGTCCCTGCAAAGAGGATTCTAGGAACTCTTCTCCTTTTTCCCAGGTACTGAAAATAGTTAAAAACTGAAGGGAGAAATGCTTAATGAATATTATTATAATGCCATTCATATCAAATTATTCTGTGGAAAAATGGCTCTCTGTGAGTTAACCTAAAAATACCAGTAGTCTTTTACTATTTAGGGTGACTCTTTTTTGAAACTGGTGGGAAAAAAACAAAGTGGCATTAACCAGGCCCTCCCCAGAGACTACATGTCTGGTCTGTGACATTCCCAGTCCTCCACAAGTTCCAGGAGAAAGAATTCTGTGGTCACTTTTCAATCCAAACAGGGGATTATGTGTCAAACCATAGGGTCATTAAGGGTAATGTCTGCAGGACTGTTCTGAGAGGGTTATTTCTTACTGTTTCATTCACAGATTCCTATGAGAAGGAGGCTGCAGCACGTGGCAAGAAGAAAATAATGTCGTCCTCCATCTGTCCCCCTTTGGAAATTGAAGTAACAGAGGAACAAAGAAGATTATTACGGTTAGTAATGGTGAATAATCTCCAGTTTCTTGGAGAAAGTTGTGTTGACCAGGAAGATCTCTATTGCTAAGTTACCACAGTTGTTGACTTTTTCCTGAGACCCACTGGCTGTATCCACACTGCGTAAAACAGGTTTCTTTTTAGGCACGTCATTACAATAGGTCAAGACAAAATCCAGTGCTGTGTCAGTTCCATGTTACTGTATTATACTCTGATTTCCCTGGGAAGAAAATCGGGATACATGGGCCACAAGAGTGCCACAACACTCTCCAGCTGATGTTACTGTCTGGGGACCAGGACTTGGGTGTGCACACTGGAGTGCGTTGCCTCGTAGGGAAGATCTAGACACTTAATTTGTTGCAGGACTTTTTGGACAACAATTTGATAGGCAGACGTTATCTGAGAAGAGAAAGATAGGGTATGGAAAGTTTGCATTGTAAAACCATGGAAACGGCATTC